TTGAAAACACCTGTTATATCAACAAAACAAATCTGCACTCTTCATGTGATCTTAGCATTTTAAAGCTGATCATCTCCAATGTAATATAATTTATTACTCACAGCTGATGTGAAACAAAGACAACAAAACATTCTTAACAATGAACCTATCCCTGACAATAGTCTATAAAACAAAGAAAACTAATAAATTATATTACACTGGGGATGACCCCATTTTAACTGACCCCCTACCTCGAATAGCACAGGTACAAGGTGTGGCTGTGAGTGAAGGTTGTAGGATTAGGGTTAGGATTCTGAGAACTATGCGTCTCACCCGCTCACATACAAACCCTAAAAACCCTCTGCATTGTTCTAGCCTTGCATGTTATGTTGTTGGTCCTTTACCTTGATGGACATCTAGCACATCATTAACCCTTTAAACCCTATGATCAAAGTTTGAATTCTTGTTTGTTGCCTTATATTCATTTCCTACAGAAGTAGTGGAGAGAAGTTGATAAAATATCAAGAAAATTCATTGTGTGTGATCATGTCTGTAATTCTCATGACCACTCTGTTTTACAAAGCATTGCCATTACAAGGAGAAATTTGATACTGATCACTCTTAGGGCTTAAAGAGTTAATAAATGATTATTGGAGATTCAGAAAAGAACCACAGAATTCACTGCAGTGTGGAGTGGTCTTATGCAGAAATTTATTGCAAATTTTTTACTCCGTTACCCTCCAAGTTAAAGTTTTTGCTTGGTCACCATTTGGCAACCAACTCTTTTGGTTTAGGGAGACTGTTTTACTAAGCAAGTCGCCAGCTCCGAAATTTTAGGTCAGTGCCATGGTGACCAAAATGGTTGCAACTTGGAGGCTTGCACGGGTATAAGAAATAATTATGATCATGAAAAAAGTGGTACTAAGTTATTCTGTATGTGGCAGGAAGAGTATGCAAAGTTTCCTTGCATATGACGGGGTGCAAAGAAAATCATTTTTACAGCTTGCCATTTGGGCAAGCTGAAGGTAACATTTACTAGCCCAGACATCATTTCAACTAGCCCCAAAAGTTTTTTGAAGAGCAGAATTGATCTCACAGTTCTTCTGTTATTCGAATTCCTCAAAAAAGATCACTTGCCGGTCGGGCAAGTTAAAAACAGAATTCACTAGCCCGATAGCAAAATCCACTAGCCCCTATAGTGAGGCTTTTGGACACCACTTTCTTGACATGCTGATATGAGTTTTTTTAATGCTTGATCTTACTTTAAAAAGAAAACATAACCATATAGTGCAATGATTGTCTATGAGGGGTGGCGATTCAGGTACCTCGAAAAACGTGGGTCTTGGAAAATTTTGGCCGGATCCCGGAGTCTCGGAAGCATTTTTGATAAGTCACGAAGTCTCGTTTTTGCATGGTTTGTTTTTACTTTTTTTGAGTCTCGAAACTTTTTACCAAAGAGTCCCGGGCTCGAATTTCTAACTAGGATCTCGGCGTCTTGGCAAGTCTCGGATTTTACCATTCGCCATCCCTTCTATAAAGAAAGTGTCTCGTCATAGATATAATTATTCCATCATTCACAATGACAGGCACTTCCAAGCCCAGAAGATTATGGGGAAAAGAAAAGAGATGAACCTGTACCAATAAATGATGACGTGGAGAGAGTTCGAAGGTATGTATTAAATAGTGCATGTCAAATCAGCCCCTTCCTTCAGTCTGCATCACCTTTTCCAGTTTATACTTGTGGTTCCTACCCCACCCATTGGATGCCTTGACCAAAGGCAGCTGAGAAATATGAGAAGTGTGTGTAGTTAAATTAAACATATCATAATAACGCAAGGTTTTTCACCTAGCGATACTGAAGTATTTCTAGTGACAGGCAAAATTTTCAGGGGGACATTGCCATTGTTTCCACACCTTTTCTCAATAAAACCAATAGACAAACATACTGATTCTTACTGACATTTATTTTGCATCAATTATTTGCCTGTTCATGCATTTTCTGGTAACATTTGAGAGGCAAAATCCATTGAGAGGCCTTTTACTGCTCTGTACACTGTCTTCATAGTTCCCCCAAAAGGTTTTTTTTTTTATAATAATGATAATTTTTTATTAAACCATCATCAGTATTACAAATGTCAATGTGCCCCAAATATGCAAATAGCATTAAGAAATGATGACAAAGATTATTATGGTTTTGTTGTTGTTATTTTAAGTTTATTTAATGATTTTTTTTTCACTTTAGAGCTCATCTTAATGATCTGGAAAACATCCCAACATTTCTGATCATTGCCTTACTCTTCATGTTGGCTGGCCTGTGTCCAACCAGAGGCATCTGGTGTCTGCGAATCTTTACAGCAGCAAGGATTGTTCACACTTTGTCATACCTCAGTGCATTCTCCATGCCAAGAGGCGCGGGCTTTCTTATTGGTGTAGTTTGTACCATTGTTCTGGGTGTTAGCGTGCTGCTCTCTGCAGCTCATGCTGGTTCATTTTAGTTGTGAATAAACTGCAATAATAGTTTTGTAGCCTAACTAATAAGCTTATAGTGTCGCTTAAACATACTTATTTTACTTGCAGGAGCATAGTCAAAATCTTTGTAGCAAATTTTTTTTTCTTGGTGTTGCAATTCCACTGAGGGAGTTTACGTGGATTTGGTTTTGTGTAGGTGTGGCCTCCTAATTTAGATGTGC